TGTTCATGTCTGCATGGGTGAGCATGTGTGAGTGTGCATGTGTCCATGTGTTCATGTCTGCATGGGTGAACATGTGTGAGTGTGCATGAGCATGTGCAGGAACATCATGTGTGCATGTGAGTGAGGGTGTATGAGTGTGTGAGCATGCATGTGAGTGAGCACATATGAGTGTGTGTGAGCATTCGTGTGTGTGTGTGTGTCCCACCATGTGGGAGTATGCTGTGGGCATCCCCTGTGAGTGAGGGTGTGGGAGTGTCAGTCTGGGAGGGTGTCACCTTCCAAAGCGGGGTCACTGCGTCCAAGTTCAGAAATGATGTGTTTGTCACAATCGGATAGCACACATCACCGTGTCAGCATGTGAGTGAGGGGAGAGGTTTTTGTAGGGGGGTCTCCCTGTCAAAGCCAGTGTTTCCAGTTGACAAGTCCACCTAGAGACTGGTGTCCTCTTGTGAGTGCGGGCGTTTGTCTATGTTTGGGGGTGTCACCATGTATTTGAAGGAGTCACTGTCAGTGCTGCTGTGTGGTGATGTGTGTCATGAAATGGGGTGTTTACAGGCTGAGGTCCCCCGTCCCCACCCCAAGTGCCCATCTCACCACTGGTGCCAGTCCTGCTCCAGGCCTTGGGAGGAGACCAGGCCCTCAGGCTCCCATGGCTGTCCCTCATCCACACTGGCCATCGTCACCAGGAGTGAGGCAGGAGGCAATGGTCTCTCCTCTAGCCACTAACATGCTATCAGTGGGGCCCAGCCATGCCTCACCTCAGAAACTTCGGACAGCACTGACCCAGCTGACCCCACCCTAAGCCCCCATTACCCACTCCTTTGAGGGAGGAGTCGACCAGGACACTTTCTGGTATCCCCTCCCTTCTTTAAGAGAGAAAGTAGTAACAACTGAGAGAGAGCAATTCATCTGCTGTTAAAAAGGCAGGACATCACGAAGTCACCCTTCAGCCGAAGATCAGCAGGTCTATGAAACAAACAATAACGCGCATGAGGAACGTCCTTCTTAGTTCAGTCATGTATACGAGACCAAAAGGGCAACACCTGTCTAAAAGCAATGACGGAAGGGGCAGGAAACATGGACAATGGAAACGGGGAATTGGAGTGTGGAAGGGCCGAGTGTTGACACATCGAGGGGATTGAGACCAATGTCACAAAAAAAATTGTGTATAAATTGTTGAATGAGAAACTCATTTGCTCTGTAAAGTTTCACCTAAAGCACAATAAAAAAATTAATAAAATAAAAGCAGGACACTCATGTGCTTTAAAAATAGAAGAGGTTTCTTTGATAAACAAATAAGGAACTCAGAACTCTCGCTTTACACACAATCTTAACATACTTGGTTATCAACTTCTCATCCCAAAGCCATTTAAAGAAGTAATTGCTAGAAGCATGACAAGAGCTATAAGAAGGGACAGCCGAGTGGGATGTCAGAATCAGATAAAAGTATAAAGCCAGAGTCTTAGTCATCTAGTGCTGCTATCACAGAAATACCATGAGTGGATGGCTTTAACAAAGAGAAATTTATTCTCTCACAGTCTAGGAGGCTAGAAGTCTGAATTCAGGGTGCCAGCACTAGGAAAAGGATTTTTCTCTCTGTCGGCTCTGGGGGAAGTTCCTTGTCACCAACCTTCCCCTGGCCTAGGAGCTTCTCAGCACAGGGACCCCAGGTCCAAAGAACGCACTCCACTCCCAGTACTTCTTTCTTCGTGGCATGAGGGCCCTCTCCTCTCTGCTCAATTCTATCTTTTATATCTCAAAAGAGATTGACTCAAGATACAACTTAATCCTGTAGATTGAGTCCTACCTTATTAACGTAACTGCCTCTAATCCTGCCTCATTAACATCATAGAGCTTAGGATTTACAACACATAGGAGAATCATATCAGATCACAAAATGGTGGACAACCACACAGTACTGGGAATCATGGCCTAGCCAAGTTGACATACATTTGTGGGGGACACAGTTCAGTCTATAACAGCCAGTATCAAAAAGCACAGCACTCCCTGCTTATGTACAATAAAACACCTCATGGGATTTGGTTACTTGGTTTAGAGGTTTAGGGTCATGTTTCATAGAACATCCCAGTTGATTGACCTAATAACGTGTTTAGTATTTCCATTCTACTTCCTACTTCATTGCATAGTTCCTGGAATCTTAATAGCTTCTGGGCAGCCATTCAAGGCACAACAATTGTTCTTTATTCCCTGGAGCAACAGAGGAAGAAGGAGAGTCAAGAACAGGAGAAGGAAATGGAATGTGTCGTTAATTGCCTCCATGAACAACTGCCTCCTTTGCCATGAGACCAGAAGAACTGGATGGTGTCTGGCTAGCATTACTAAATGTTTTGATAAAAAAAATTCTATAGAAGAATCCTAATCAAAAGGGGGACGATGTAGAACAAAATTTCAAATGATCATAGACTCCAACCCCAGACTTTCTGGAGCCATGGTGGCTGGATGAACCCTTGAAACTATTGCCCTGAGATAATCTTTAAACCTTAAAACAAAAATACCCCCTGAAGTCTTCTTAAAATCAAGCAATAGTTTAGCTTAACTAGTAAAGAATGTCTGTCTTGAGCATTGTCTTAGGCTGGGTTGTCTAGAGAGGCAAAACCAGTGAAGTGTGTGTGTGTTTGTGTGTGTGTGTGTGTGTGTGTGTGTATATATATATAGATATACATAAACATATATATATATACACATACCCACAGAAAGAGAGAGATTTATCTCAAGGAAATGATTCACATGGTTGTAGACGTTGCCAAGTCCCAAGTCCGTGGGTCAGGTATCAGGCTAGAGGCTTCTCTTGACTCACATAGCTGCAGGGGCTAATGAACCCAAGATTGGCAGGCAATACGGCAGGTTGCTGGCTCAAGCCCCGAAAACTGGATGTCAGATGATGAAGAGCCAGATGCAGGATGCAGAGCAAGCAAAAGCCAGCAAGCTTTGCCAGAACATTCATATATATTGGATGCAGGCCATACCCCTGAGGAAACTCCCCTTACAACTGATTGGCTGATCACATCAGATCACATCACGGAAGATGACTACATCATTATATAACTGCCAAACTACATCATTATATAACTGCCAAACCACTGAGACTCATGGCCTACGCAAGTTGACACACACCTTAACCACCACAAGCATCATGCTCTTTTAAGAACTATCTATATGGGATCAAATTGACAACAGCAACTCAAAAGATTATATAGGAAGCTTAGGGGGCAGTGACTTTATGTTAATGGAGGACGAACATCTGAGAAAAGGAGGGTGAGAATGGTTGCACAACTCAGAATGTAATCAATGTCACTGCATTGTACGTGTAGAAACTGTTGAACGGGTGTATGTTTTGCTGTGTATATTCTCAACAACAACAACAAAATAAATAAAAATTATTTTAAAACAGCAGAGCGCTCGGGAGCCATTGAGTCTAGAGCTGTACGGCAGCACCTGAGGGCCTGCCCTACTGCCTGTTCCTCCAGTCCAGAGCCTCTGGCTAACTGCAGGTCCAGCCACAGAGGAACAGGCTATCACAGGGCCCTCCCTGGCCCTGACCCTGTGCCACTGTTGGGGGCACACCTCTGGGGCACACCTGTGGGGCACATCTGGAGGGCATGCAGCATTTTCAGAGCCCCTTCAGGGAGAGGAGGTTTGCCATAATAACAGTAAGTGAACACTTGCATTGCTCTTACTGGGCACAGGTTGCAGCTGCTGTGTGTACACTGAAGCTATGTAACAGCCCTGTGAGGTAGGCTTACTGTTATCCTGGTTTCACAGGTGGCAAAAGCAAGGCACAGGAGGATTAAACAAGTCGCCCACTCTTACAGCTAATAAATGGCAGACTGGGGATTGAACCCAGGCAGCCTGGCACCAATGTCTATATTCTTAACCATGAGGCAAAACCACCTCTGCCCATGGTCCCTTATGAAAGCCCCTAAACTTTTCAGCATCATAAAAGATAGAGAAACGTTGAGGAAATGCCCCAGATTAAAGGACACATGACAACGGAATGCAATATCCCACCCTATACTGAATCCAGTACTGGAGGAGGCTACCGTGAACATTATTAGATCAACAAATAAAATTGGAATATGGATAGCAGATTACATAAAAGTACTACATCAACGCAGATCTATGAAGCTGATTACTGTGATAATGTAAGAAAACATCTCAATTCTTGGCAAATACTCACTGAAGTATTTAGGATAAAGGTCAGGATGCTTGTAACTTCAAATGGTTCAGGAACAAAATTATCTGTATATACATACATACATACATACCTCTGTGTGTGTGTGTGTGTGTGTGTGTGCATGTGAATGGAGGGTAAGTGATAAAGCAAATAGGATAAAATAATAGGTTGTTGTTAGGAGCTGGCAAGTTCCAATTCATAGTGACCCTACGTACAACAGAACGGAACACTGCCCGGTCCTGCCCCATCCTCACAATCGTTGTTATGCTTGAGCCTATTGTTGCAGCCACTGAGTCAATCCATCTTCTTGAGGGTCTTCCTCTTTTTTGCTGACCTTCTACTTTACCAAGCATGATGCCCTTCTCCAGGGACCACTCCCTCCTGATAAATGCCCAAAGTATATAGGACGAAGTCTTGCCATCCTTCCTTCTAAGGAGCATTCTGGCTGTACTTCTTCCAAGACAGATTTGTTTCTTCTTCTGGCAGTCCATGGCATATTCAATATTCTTTGCCAACACCATATTTCAAATGCATCAATTCTTCTTTGGGCTTCCTAATTCATTGTCCAGCTTTCACATGCATATGAGGTGATTGAAATACCATGGCTTGGGTCAGGCGCACCTTAGTCCTCAAAGTGACGTCTTTGCTTTCTAAAAATTTAAAGAGGTCTTTTGCAGCAGATTTGTCCACTGCAGTATGTTGTTTGATTTCTTGACTGCTGCTTCCATGGGTGTTGATGGTAGATCCAAGTAATATAAAGTCCTTGACAACTTCAATATTTTCTCCATTTATCTTGATGTTGCTTATTGATCCAGTTGTGGGAATTTTTGTTTTGTTTATGTTGAGGTGTAATCCATACTGAAGGCTGTAGTCTTTGATCTTCATCAGTAAGTGCTTCAAGTCCTCTTCAGTTTCTGCAAGCAAGGTTGTGTCATCTGCATATCGCAGATTGTTAATGAGTCTTCCTCCATTCCTGATGCCATGTTCTTCTTCATATATTCCAGCTTTTCAGATTATTTGCTCAGCATACAGATTGAATAAGTATGGTGAAAGGACACAACCCTGACATATACCTTTCCAGACTTTAAATCACACAGTATCCCCTTGTTCTGTCCAAACAACTGCCTTTTGGTCTGTGTACAGGTTCCTCAATGAGCACAATTAAGTATTCTGGAATTCCCATTCTTCACAGTGTTATCCATAATTTGTTATGCTCCACACAGTTGAATGCCTTTGCATAGTCAATAAAACACAAGTAAACATGTTTCTGATAGTCTCTGCTTTTAGCCAAGATCCATCTGACATCGGCAATGATAACCCTCATTCCACGTCCTCTTCTGAATCTGGCCTGAATTTCTGACAGTTCCCTGTCGATGTACTGTTGCAACTGTTTTTGAATTATCTTCAGCAAAATTTTACTTGCATGTGATATTAATGATATTGTTCAATAATTTATGCATTCTGTTGGATCAGTTTCTTTGG